TCTGTGTGAAACTGGAACCTGTGTGGTTCGATCTTTATTGTTTTAAGAGTCTGTGTGACTCATGTTATCATTAAAGAATCATTATCATTAAGCATAATCATTAAATGTCTTGATTGACTTTATTAATGGTAACCAAGGCATTTACATATATATATATATATATATATAGAGAGAGAGAGAGAGAGAGAGATAGAGAGAAAAGTAGGCATAAGGCACATAAAAATATATAATCTTACAAAATAATAGCTCGCATAATTTCTACTAAAATTTTTTTTTTTGCCATTTTGTCTGAGTTCAAAGGGGGTATTTTAACCCCTCCCTTGTGTACGCCACTGTTGAAGACGATATATAGTATTGTGAATGTTACTAAATTTTATTTAGGTAACAAAAATACCTACATCAATAGAATAATAGGGAAAATTTCGCGACTTATTTGTGATAATGCATCCCGATATTAAAACTTGTTCTCATTAGTAATGTTAAAGCTTGTGTGGGTGACTACTCGATAAAGGGATCACCTACACCCTGAATGTACATAAATCTCAACTTTTGCGTCTCAATATTAAGAAAATAAAAGTTTTTAATAGCAAAAATCTTATCTCAAGTTTTAAAAAAACTAAATAAAACTGGTTGACAAGCTAAAGTCCATTTTAACTATCAAAGAAGCGTGGTAAATAAATGTTAAGACTGATTTGAGCTTTTTAAGCTATCTTTGCTATCTTTCAGTTCTTAAACAGCGTCTAAAATGTATTGCTTACTACTTTAAAATTCTGTATTCTTTGAAGTTAGAGAAGTTTATAACAGTTAAAGTACGTTCCGTTATGGCGAGGAAGCTTTTACAAATGAAATTCATTGGAGAGCATAGTTAATAATAGTAAATAAGTGCACAGTTGGATTTCGATCAAATTGCTAATTTGAGCCGTGGTGGCTCAGGGGATAGGGTTCACCTCATTGGGATGCCTGCCAATGAGGTGAACCTGGTTCGAATTCCTGCGATGGCTGGTTGATACGAATTCCAAACCTGTCTCGCACAGACCTCGGTGCTGAAGAAAAATATCCTTAGTGGTAGAAGGATCATGGGTTAGAGTCCACTTACTGTTTGGCTAACCATGGCAGATTTTCGTGGTTTTCCTCTATATGTAACGAAAATGCGGGTTAGTTTCATCAAGTCCTCTACGATGGCAAATTTTGATCCAGGAATATCCTTCTCTTCTGGATTGGGTTTAAAATTACAAGGCTACGGAGTTAAACATTGGTAGTCGTAAACCCTAAATTAAGTCTGCTTTTCAACGACGGTTATAAAATAAAATATTTAAAGTGATAGCGAAATAACAGTTTGAAGTTAATTTAATTTGTTTAATTTTCCCAACACCTATGCAATTGCTTGAAAAGCTTAACATTTATTACCACCCTAAATATGCAAAAAAATAAATAAATAAAAATTAAATAAATAAAAGTAAAAAGAAAAAACATCTCGGTAAAACGGGAGCTGATGGAAAGTATGTAATAATAGAGAAAAATTCAAAAAATAATAAAGGTAATAACAAGAGAAAGAAATAAACTTGTTTTTAATAACAAAAATTAAAGGATTTTAAATCGGATTCAAAAACTAACCTGCTACAGTAAAAATCCCCAACTCTGGTAAATTCTTGATTTTTACCAATAAAATCTAGATGAAACAATAATTTTACCAATAAAATCCAGATAAAATAATAATTTTACCAATAAAATCTAGATAAAATAATAATTTTACCAATAAAATCTGGATAAAATAAGATTTACCAAATTGGTTCGGTAACCCTTTAACCGCAAAATCTTGGTAAAAGCCTGAGATTGAATCATTTTAAAGCATACTTCCGACTTTTACATATAGGTAGAAGCTGGTGTTACTGGTGAAACTTAAGATTTACCTGACTTCGAGTTTTTACTATAACTGAACCAAGGAAGAATTTAATTTGTTATTAATAATGTTTAGTGACCACATGTATGTCTTATTGTATGATGGGTTAAAACTCATTATAATGGGGTAAATTCGAGCCAGTTTCAGAAATTATTAACTTTCTTATCAATATCATATTTTTTTCGTTTGAAAATTGTATTTACCCTTTTTGTGAAATGTCATTCCCTTTGTATGATTTATTTTCGAGTTAAATCATCTGGTTTTAGCAGTTATCTTCAGGAAACATGATTTCTCAAAAATGATAGTCCCGAACCAAAATATCATTTGCAGTCATGTATGAAACATTATCTTAAATGATACTTTCTTGTATATAGAGGTTCAGGAAACATGATTTCTCAAAAATGATAGCCCCGAACCAAAATATCATTTGCAGTCATGTATGAAACATTATTTTAAATGATACTTTCTTGTATATAGAGGTTGGACAAAATTATGGAAACACTTCTATATTTTTTATATATATATTTATCAAGAAACACTAAGAGAATCATTTTATAGCTTTTTTAGAAGTGTATATCAATGAAGTTTAAAACTTTTAGAGGGCAATAAATTAAACTAAAAATAATGTTTCAGAGCATCCATTAAATATTGAAATAAGCAATTATTTTGGTTATTAAATGCAATACTTTCGTAAATATTGCTTCAATATTCATGGATATATGGACATTTTTATAGATTATTTTTTGCCTTTTTTCACTACAACTGCTGAAATATTCAAAAAACTTTTAAAATTTTATTTAATCAACTTTTTAATATTTAAATCTGCTTTTTTCATAAGTTACCGAAGACGATTCAAAACAAAATTATGACAAAAGATTTTTTTAAAATGTTTTCCACACCTGCCTCAGCATGAAAAGATTATTTTAAATGCTATTATCTTGCGCAATTTTTCAGGAATTTTTCTAGAATTCGAAAATTATATTTTTCGTTACAAATTAAAAATTATTCAAAAAACGTGTTTAATTTTATTGAATATTTTTGCAACTATAGTAAGAAAACATTAGGCAAAAAAAAGAAAAGTTTTTTAAATTGTCTATATCTCTATCACCACTTAAGCTAAATTTACAACATTTTGTGCAACTATCTTATATGATAACCAAATTAATCGTTACAAGTTAAATGCTTAATATATTTGTTGTCATAGTTTGTTCAGAAACACTCTTCTTCATTCGTAATTTATTCTCGGTTCTTCAAACCTCTAAAAAGCTTTCAACGTCATTGAAGTGCATACAAAATCCCATGAATCGAACTAAACACTTCTGAAATTATAAAACAGCTCTCAAAGTATTTCTTGAGAAATGTGAAAAAAATGACTTAGAATAGAAAATTCAATCCCCCCTCTATATGTATTAATATATAAAAAAGTTATGCTTTTACAAATTATTTCTATCAAATAAAAGTAAAATGCTTTGTTAAAATTTATGTTAATTATGTATTGATATTTACGGTATTTTCGTGAAACATCGACTCACATTAATAGCGTCTATTTTTACTCGGGCCACGAGAATCAACTGTATATATTTGGCTTCATTTTGACAAAAATTTTTAAAAATACATCAGTGATCATAACAGAATGCCCAGTTTAATTAAACTATCAATTTCACCTTTAAGGCACAAGCACATTCTTAATTAATATTATTTTTAATGCAAGAGTAAAGCAATTAAAATGTAATTATCAAAACATGCACATATTTTCATCCACGATCAAATAAGATATCTAAACTCAAATATTTAGAAACATAGAGAATGTTTTTTCAATAAATTGCAATGTTCTTTGACTGAAGAAAATAAAAATTTACTGAATATTTTATTATGAATTTATTATTTGTTAATTAGATGATTAATTTAAAAATCAATATCGTTAAAATTAAAACTAGGTAAATGCATAAAAAAAGTACAATTTTCAACTTTGAAACAAACAACATACATTTTTGTAAAGCGGGAGAGTTAATAAAACTTATTCATTAAAAAATATATAAACTTAGATTTTCATTAAAAATTTTCAACAAGTTTAGTTAACAAGCACTCGAGTGATTCAAATATTCTTGGACTCAACTAAATATTAATTAATTGAATGTTACATTAGGAATTTATTGATTGTTCATTAGATGTTTAATTTCAAAATCAATATCTTTAAAAATAAAATCAATTAAAAAGGTAAATGCATTAAATAAATACCACTTTCAGTTTTGAAACATTCAACATACACTTTTATAAAACGGGAGAGTTACTAAAACTTAAATATTGAAAAATATATAAGCTTTGATTTTCATTGAATTGAAGTTTATTTAACAAACACTTCAGTGATTCACATATTCTTGGACTCAAATAAATATAAATTTATTGAATGTTACATTAAGAATTTATTGATTGGTCATTGAAAGATTAATTTCGTAACCAATATCATTAAAAATAAAATCCATGAAAAAGGAAATGCATAACTACTTTCAATTTTGAAACATACATTAATTTTCGTAAAACAAGGAGTTTTTACTGAATGTTACATAAGGAATTTATTGATTGTTCATTAGATGATTAATTTCGAGATCAATATCATTAAAAAGTTAAGTATTGAAAAATAACATGTCAAGGTTTTCTTATTTTAGTGGTTAAATTTTTTTAAAACTAAAAACTTGCAAAAATGTTTCTCTATCAATTTAGATCATTAGATTTAAAAAATGAAACACTCATAACAAGATGTATCCAAAACAACTTTAAAGAATTCTCTTAACATTTATTTGTTAAAACATTATCAAAGTAGAAAACGAAAAAAAAAAAAAAAAAAAAAAAAAAAAAAAAAAAAAAAAAAAAAAAAAAAAAANAAAAAAAAAAAAAAATAAATAAATAAAAAAATTATACACATTTGTAAATTAAAAAGAAAATAAGTCATAAAAGCAGGTTTGTTTGGAGATTGACAATTGAAGGCGTTTTTAATAATCGTCCTTCAACTCCTTCATGTTTTTTGCATGAATCTGAGATTAAGACTCATGTAAAAACAAGAGTTCCTTTTTTTTTTTTTTTTTTTTTTTTTTTTTTTNGTTATTATTGAATCTTAGATTACGTCTTAGTTTTTTTTTTTTTTTGCTTGAATATTGGTTTGAGACTCGCATCGTGAATACTTTTTTTGTTCTCGTTTTTAATAATGATCCTAAAATATCATATGATGGGCTGTCTTTACAGAACATACTGGGCACATTAAAATGGTTAATTTATTATGTAAATTTAAAGGACATTCATCTTATTTTTGACAAGCAATTAAAAATATTTTAAATTTATAAAAAATTCTTAAAAAATGAGTTTATTTGTTATTTATACTTTAGCATCTTTTTAAAAACATCAGATAATTTTAGTAACACTTCCGTTGCTAATGTATTGTTATTTTCAACAAAATCAAGATAGATTTTTGAGTTCAATACTTTCTCAAAATTATTCTTTATGAAATCCAATGCATTTGTCTTTAAAGGCTTATAAGCAATTCTGTCTGCGGTAATCAAAACTTCGAAAATATTTGACACAGTCAAAGATGTTGTCAAGAAAGCGGAACACTTTTCTTCTAATGAAGAAATTTGATACCTATTTGCGGCAATTAATAGTTCTATTGCAGAATCATAGTCCAATTCTTTTATGGATCCCGTATAGATGCATTCCAGAAGAGTATCCATTGTATAAGGTTTTATATCTTTGATATTGACGATTCCAGTTTTAGTTTCAGTCATATTTTGATCGAACATGGCTCCAAACACCGGTGAACGAGCGGCCAGAATTGCTCTATGGGCAGGAAATGTAGCTTTTTCTACTCTCAGTTTCACATCGCAATGCTTTTTGGATATAAACATCTCACGAAGATCGTCGTGCAAAGCTGAATGCATATTTAAATTTACGCCCGGCGATTTGAACCTCATGAAATTCGAAGGGTGGAAGGTGTAATTTTCTATGCAAGATGTCACAATCCCAGTTGACATTACAATGTCGCATCTTAAACCAAACGTATGGTCTTCCAAGAAGAAACGTTTTTGTTTCAGGATCATACTTTTTGTGAAAAATGAGGGGAAATTCCATGATTCAAAAGCAGCGGGATCTTCAAACACGTGCACGTCACTTTGTGTAAAGCATTCTTCACCCTTGTTGTCTATTAAGGAAAGTCTGCAATATATTTTTTGAGGTTCAGACGATAGGCTATCAGTTGTGCAAATAATAATTATAAATTCGTCTTCAGGAGCAGCCAGAATAATATCAAGCGATACTGGCAGGAAATATAAAGTTTCGATTTTTTTCCACCGAGAAGATGCTGGAAATTCAATGTCCCATTCAAATGAGCATTTGTCCATTTCGATTTTCGATCGAGCTTCGCACCCGGACACAACCTGTTTGTTCTTATCCAAATGTTTACTAAGTATTTCACACCTTATACTTAGAACATCCACCTTCCATGCCAGTGCATCCTTCAAAACACGATCATCTTTGAAAAGCCTAGAAACACCCAGCATTGTTCCTCTTTCAAACATAACATCTTCACCAAGCATGTTTCTTAGATTTTTACCATTACCGTCAATCACCATGATTTCGTAATCAATTAATACACCCTCGTTACATTTATCCTCTTCTCTGCATAAAAACACAGAAAGGAAATTCTTGGCGTCTTCGTTTACGCCACTAGGATAGATCTTGATGCGCCATTTAGTATTAAAAAGGCCTTCGACTACAAACGTTGGACTGGTAATTGATTCTCCTGTTCTGTGACAACACAGTGAAATGTTCTCAATGTTCCAAATAAAGGCATACGATTCAAAAACTTCTTCTTCTGACTCTTGTGTTTCAGCCTTGGCCAAAGGCATTTGGCCTTTGCTCGCCAAGGTTTTAGCCATCACTCTTAACTTACAATATAAACGACCGGATAACTTAAATTTCACAGAAGTAATCTACAAACACAGCTACAATTTGAACAAGATCTCAACACTCACGCAGTTCCAAACACAGCCCTCTTTTCCTAGTCCCTATCAACAACTGCTTTTCTTATCTAGTGCTTTGTAGGAAATAATTGACCAATGGTTAACCACGAAAAGTACAATGAGATAGACCATCCACCTGACCCCCACTATCACAGGGGTCCGGATAACACCTTCCCAAAGTGACCTTTGGCCTATTGACACTTGTGAATTTCCCTTATAGACAAAAACCACAATTGAGTTATTATCCCTTTTCAAAATGAAGGAAATTGAGATCAATGAAAGGACAACTCAAGACTTTTCTATAGAGGAATTGGTATTTACTTTTATAATAAATAAATATATGTATTATATTATATGTAATATTTTTCTTATTTTATAATACAGTGACTTATTTATTTGGAAACTAGGAGAAAATGGGAATCAGATTCGGTTAAGGAGTTTGAATATATAAAAGAAGTATAATAGATGTTTTGAATATTATCATTAAAACTTTATATAAACTGCTATAGGATAAAAAAATTTCTGAAAAATATTACAATATTTTTTATAATATCAATCATTAGAGAAATTGTTCTGTTTCAAATTTTGAAATTGTGTCAAAATATTAAAAAAGGCTTTACTAAAGTGGTTAGATAAAATTGGGAACTATATTTTGTGTAGTTTAGAATTAAATATATAATATTCGAAATCAAAGCCAAATTGTTTGTATCTTTAAATATCGGTAGTTTTTCCATTATCGGTTTTCACAAAATTTATTGAAATTTAATGTTGCTTGAAATAAATTCCATACAGTGTATACTGCACTTGTTAGAATTTCGAAGAAAATGCAAATTTTCAGTTTAGTTTTCCAGCAATAGCAATCACTTATTTGGAATTAGAGTTTATTATTAATATCATTATTAATGTCAGATATATACATACACGTTTGCTTCACTATAGAAATTTTGCATTAGTTATTTAAAGAAAATAATTATTTTAATTTTTGTTTTGTTTTGAATATACATTTTCATCACTTTCACACAATCTTATTCAAATATCTATTTGTATTTTGACTAGGTTGAAATTCGCTATCGTAAAGACTTATATGCTTTTATAGATATTTTTTAAAATTTTTTTTATAACTACCGTTAAACAGCGATCCAATTTTTGGGTTTACGACTACCAATGTTCAACCTTGTAGCCTTGTAATATTGAACCCCATTCAGAAGACAAGGGAACTCCTGGATCAAGTACTGGGAGAAATTTTCTTTCGTGGAAGACTTTTTGATGGAACTAACTCGCATTAGCTTTACATGTAGAGGAAAACCACGAAAACTTTCCACGAATAGCCTAGAAGGGGACTCAAACCCATGATCCGTCTACCACTGACGACATTTTATGACAGCACTGTGGTCGGTGCGAGCCGGGTGCAGAATTCGAATCGGCCAGCTATCGCTGGGATCGAACCCGGGTAACCTCATAGGCTTATATATTTGTTGTAATTAGTCACATGTAGTGGTGGACAAACTCATTTATAGTTATCATTATAATTCAAGAATAGTTTAATAGAATAACATGAATTTCGCTTTAAATATGAAATATGAAAATAAAATATTCCGTGAAAACTGGAAGAGTTGGCAGCCTTAGAATTGGGGAAGGAGCCCTTAAGATAGTTAATTAAAGGCATAACTTATTAGCGAAAAAAAAAAGGCCTCCAAACATTATTAAAATAGCCACTATGCAACAGAAGTGTTACCACATTGTTTTTAACCTTTCTTCAACATTGATTTTAGCAACAAAAGAAAAAATGAAATTTGCGTAAGGACTTCGGCAATTTAGATCAACTTTTACATTAGGTCAAATAATCATATTTGAGACTTATCATATTGATACTCATTTTGAACGAAGTTTACCTATCTCCAACTTTTGTATGTACAGTCGAACTTCGATTTCACGAATTCTTCGATATCTCGAAGGAAAAAAAAAATTCCCTTCAAATTTCCTATACACTCAATGTTAAAAAAACTTGATTTCACGAATTTTTTTTTCTAATCCCTCAATAACTTGAACTTTTTTTCAATCAATAGTGTAGATTTTTTTTCTAAAATTAAAAAAATATTCCCCAAAAAATAAAAAAATTTTAGGAATGACTGACAAGGTATGGAATGATGTGTCTTCTTCTACGATAATGAATGGCTACAAGAAGTCTGGATTCATTAAAGATCACAAAAGTAATCAAACAATCAATATCGTTAATTCTGCTGAAAACTTCACCGAAATTGATTGGAACAGATTGACCGGACTCATGAAACTTGATGACATGGAATTTCATGACTTTGTAAACGTAGATGATGCAGTAACCGTGTGTGGTCAGTGATATCATCGCTCAAACGAAAGCTTCTTGTGAACTATCAGAAGTAGGACTGGGCTATAAATCGATGTATCAAGACATATCGATTTAACGCATATATCGGCAAGACGATANCCCTACTGTAGAAGTTAAAATAAAAACATAACTTTTTAGTGTTCCACAACAAAAATTTATGCATATATGTACTGTTTTTTTGACTTGTTATCTTAAATTTAGGGGGGGGGGACGCTAATTTTGCTGTCTATACTTTCGCTTCGATATCCTGTGTCTTTTTTAAAGGACATTGCTTGACCTTTAGCTGTCCGCTTTTGACTTGCAGGCAATGTTTTCTGAAGGTTAAGTCAGTACTGTATGACTCTCTCAGTACTATATGGCTCAGTAAAGGGGTCCAATTATCATTCCCTAAATTTGGTACAGGACTGAAAGGAGCCATTTCCATCAGTTCTATTGTTTTGATGGCTGATTTTTTTTTTCCTTGTGGAACACCTTTTTAACAATGGAGGCAGACATGAGAGAAAAAAAAATTATAGCGAAAATCAAAAAGTGTTGATTCTGCACCGAAATTATCGCTATAGGTTCGCGTATATTTATAAATCTTCGGGAGAACACAGGCGTTGCGTCAATAAGAATTGTAACTCAAAGTTATTTACTTTTAGAAATAGAAAACTCTTTATTAATCTAGTTATTAATCTCATGAATTATATATTTTGCAGCTCTCTCTCCTGACATACAGGATTATTTATAATTCCCACCGGGGGGAACTGGACTATCGCATTGATGTATGCCGTGTGACCAAAGGTTCACACATAGAACGCCTGTAATGTATGTAAGTAAAACTTGAATAGTTTCGGAATAATTTCATATGTTTCTTTTTTTCATATTCGTCTTCTTTATTTTACTATAACGCTTCGAAACCCCGGAGGGAATTATGAATAACCCTGTATATATTGTTTTATCAGCTATTTTTATGGAATATCCCAAATAAGTTTAACTTATCTTTTTAGTGTATAAAGGAGAGCAACAGTATAAAATCTTATCAATACCTTTTTGAAAAGTAGTTGATGTGTTACTTTATCTAAACATATGGTATTGCTATCTGAATTGTAATACAATATTGTTTTGGTTCTATTTGTTTAAGGAGAGAAGAACCATGTTATTTATTCCATTCATACAGGGAGCGGTATTTCTTAATTTTTATGAATAAATGCGGTTTATTAATTTTCTGTCCCGGCAAATTTAGTCGTAAAGTATTCTCAATTATTTGAATTTAAGAAAAAACTAAAGAAACACAAATTATGAATTCAACACAATAATGCGTAAATATTTAAAAATTACGAATAAAATTACATATTATAGTAAATTTGTTTGAGTAAAGTAATACGAACTCACATAAGCAGTTAGACTCTTGATTTTAAAGAAATTTGTGAGAAAATTTACTGTTTTTTTTTATTTGGTTTTGTTAAAACTAAATGTAATTAGATAATTAATAAAAAATTAAATTATTCTGTTTTTAAGAAAAAAATGAAAAAATTTTTTTTCTTAAAATAAAAATTGCTTTAGACCGTGGTTTAACCAAGCTGAAATTGAAATCTTTGGAATGTTTCTTAACTTCTTACTTTTCAGAATGAAGATAAAACAAAGAAAAATTACAGACATATGAAAAAAGGGGGGAAAAATAATAATGAAATAAAAAATAGCAAACAACTGGAGAAAAAAAAAAGGATAAAATTTTTTTTGAAAAATCCGGAAAATAAAAGATATAATCTTTTCATCAGCCCACACAATTATTTCCGCAAAAAAGAGTGCTTTCTGAGATTGTATCAATATAGCCAAAGCAAAATATATTAATACAATAGTGTTAGGAGCACTCACAATTTTTTTTATTACAGAAATTACAACAAATAAAATAGAACACAATAAGTANTTTCTGATATTGTATCAATAAAGTCAAAACCAAAGCAAAATATATTAATACAATAGTGTGAGGAGCACTCAAAAAATTTTTTTACAGAAATTACAACAAGTAAAATAGAACACAATAAGTAAAAATAACACGTAAAAACATAAAATAGAATAAAAGAAAAAGAAAAAAACAGAATAAAACAAAATCTATAAAGCGAGTAGCGAATTTAAATGTACTTACATGAACGGGGAATTTTTCAGCTGATAAAAAGATTACATCTTTTATTTTCCGGATAAGGTATGGGGGTAAAATAAAATCACGAATAATCTTTATGGCTAGACAGACAGCAATGAAATTGTATAACTAAAAGTTCTAACTCCCGAAAGTTCTTACCACTTGGCACCCTTGTCTTCTGAGTTGGATTCAATATAACAGCTTAATAAAAAGAAAGGAAACTTTCTCCATAAAATTCTTTTTGAATTATTATAAAGCTGCTGATAAATTTAGATGCATAATTAAGAAACTTTTTTTTATTATTTATTTCCTTAATTTTCCTGTTCTAAATATCCCAAGAAAAATATATTTATATTTCCAGTCTTATAACCATAATATCGAAATATACTCGAAAACGTGTTTTTTAAAAATTATTTAATATTTTTAAAAAAAATGTTAAAATAAACGTTAAAAATTTTTTTAAAATCACGCTGTTTTAAAATTTTGCTTCAAAATTGTACTAAAAAATTCTTGACTAAAGAAAACTATTTAGTTATTTCTTAAACTGTTATTTGACATTTGAATTTCCGAAAATACTTATTGTTATTATTACAAATTTTAGAAAGAGAAAAAATCAAACATAATTTTTTTCTCTGTTTTGAGATTTTTTTAAAAAATATTAGCTAAGTATTAATAACTAGCAAAGTATTATTAATTTTTAAATATTAACTAATATATTCTGCTTTATTCATTGGTCATTATTATATAGTGCTTTTTTTATTTCATTCAAATAATATTTCAAGTTATCCTGATTGATGCAATTGATTCTAATTCAAAACGTCTACAAATTTCTGTGGCACTTAAAGCAAATATTTTTCCGAATGACTTTTTCATAATTTATTTACATACTTAATGATAAGGCAAAAAATAAAATCCAGCATCAAATATAAAAGCAATTGAGGATATTTTGAAATTGAATATTTGTCACGAGTTTGCTATTCGTCAAATATTTGTCATTCGTCAAACACGAATTTGGGATATAAGAAAAAAATTACGAATTACCCTTATTGTTAGAACGAGAACAGCGAAATTGTGTAACTGAAAACTCTAGCATGAAATTCTTAATTAAAGTACGACTACTTGGCATCCTCGTCTTCTGAGTTGGGTTTAATGTAAGAGGGTAATAAAAGGCAAAAAATTAATTGCAGANAACTTTTTAGTTATTTCTTAAACTGTTGTTTGACATTTGAACTTCCGAAAATACTTATTGTTATTATTACAAATTTTAGAAAGAGAAAAAATCAAACATAATTTTTTTCTCTGTTTTGAGATTTTTTTAAAAAATATTAGCTAAGTATTAATAACTAGCAAAGTATTATTAATTTTTAAATATTAACTAATATATTCTGCTTTATTCATTGGTCATTATTATATAGTGTTTTTTTAATTTATTCAAATAATATTTTAAGTTATCCTGATTGATGCAATTAATTCTAATTCAAAACGTCTACAAATTTCTGTGGCACTTAAAACAAATATTTTTCCGAATGACTTTTTCATCATTTATTTACATACTTAATGGTAAATGATAAGGCAAGAAATAAAATCCAGCATCAAATATAAAAACAATTGAGCATATTTTGAAATTGAATATTTGTCACGAGTTTGTTTTTCGTCAAATATTTGTCATTCGTCAAACACGAATTTGTGATATAAAAACAAATTACGAATTACCCTTATTGTTAGAACGACAACAGCGAAATTTTGTAACTGAAAACTCTAGCATGAAATTCTTAATTAAAGTATGACTACTTGGCATCCTCGTCTTCTGAGTTGGGTTTAATGTAAGAGGGTAATAAAGAGCAAAAAATAAATTGCAGAGAATTTTTTTCCAACGATTGAAAATATCATTTTCTAAAAAGTGATAAATTATTAAATTTCAAGAAAAATATTGCATTGTTTGTGTTGCGAGTTGTAATTAATTATAAAAAATATTATAAAAGAGAAGAAAATAATGTTTTTATTAAAAAACTAGTGTACTATTTTCTTCATAAAAATGAATAAGTTTGCAATTGCGAAGAAAAAAAGAAGAGTCATAACAAAAAAGAAAGAGAAAAATTGAAAAAGTAGTTTTTTTTTTTTAAATTGTAATGCAAATTTTTTTTTCAGATTATTTAAACTAACAATTATTTAAAAAATGCTAGTTTAAAGTTTATTTCATGCATTCTACCTATTTATTAAAGCTTACTTATTGCACTTTATTTTGATACTTATAGTAGCTTTAAAACTAAAAGACTTCAGTGGTATAAAACTACGCATTTTATTGATTGTAAATATAAAAAAAAAATTATTATAAATAACAGAAGGTAATTAAATAATCATAAATATAATAAAATTTTTATAAATAATAAAATAGAAAGTTACAAAATTTTGTCAAGTTAAATAACCTTTATTAATCATTAGTTCGTTAAATCTAAAAGCTCTCTATAATTAATTTCTAAAATTTTATAATCTAGTGATATTTCTGAATGAATCAATTACTTATTTAAAAAAAAAACTTTAAAGTATGTTTTTTAGAAAAGATAATAAATAAAGATGTATTTGATTTTTAATCTGATGTTATTTTATTTATTTTAAAAATATTTCTTTTTTTCGCAAACTGTTAGTAAATATAGTTAGAAGTGAATCGATTCTCTTATAATAAATACAATAATGCAAACAAGTTTAAAACAAATACTACGCATTAAATTCTTGAAGAAAAATCAAAAATTAAAATAAATAGATATTTATTTTAGACTATGTAATTGTCAAAATGAAAGAAAAATACATTCCATTTCAGAAACAATGCTGTGAACTCTGGGAAAGAGGTCACGATCCCCAAAGCAAAGGGAGAATGATTAAAGGATAAACAAAAGCAATTGGTCACTTTCTTATAACTATCGATAAACAAAAGCAATTGGTCACTTTCTTATAACTATCGATACAAAACGTCCTTCCTTGGGGGAGGGTCCCAACCTTTGCTCGAGGGCTGGGATTCCCTTCACTGCTCTCTTCGGGGGTTGCGAGGTTAGGATTTTGTTTTACTATTGGACGGGTATAGAATAGACTTCGGGGAATAGTGACGTCACCGTCCGCGTTGGATGGCTGCAATTTTAGGGGTCCAGTTGGTCATTGCTCATGTCAGATCCGCTATTCACACCCATCCCTTCATTATGCTCCTTCTCGACTTAGGAATTTTGAGGCAGAACAACAGTGTGATTAGCAACGGTTGAACAGGTTTCTATCAGTCAGTTCAATCCACAGAGCAGTGAAAAACAGGAAAGAAACCAGCACAATTTTATATTTAGTTATTTTTCTTTGGCGTAACTGTCATGGCTTTGCACAAAACTATGGTGGAAACAAATACTTCCGTTTCTGAATATGAATACACATGGAAGATAAAGAACTTTTTGAAATACTATGATGTTATTCGCGGGGTAGAATTTTCGCCGTTGAAATCTATTCCCTTGACACTTGCTTTTGAAATAATACCACGTTTAGATATACAATGCAATACTTATCTTGGTTATGAGATAAATATGATTAAGTTATCGAAAGAGGAAGTTCCTAAAACCTGCAGATTTGCTATCAAAGTGAAAGTTAGCAGTGGTTCTAGTAATGATACTACTACAACTGCATTGTCATATCTTGGTGGACCAAGGACTGTTCACGATTTAGCGGATTCCACTCGTCTTTACATGGGTAAGCTGAATATCCATCGTAATATTTTATATGTACATTCTGCTGATATTGATGTTGCTTCGGACGTAACTTTTCTGTTCACTTTAACTTTTTTTGGCCATAATATAACTACCATAACAACTACAGATCCCGTGTTAAAATTGCCAGACGAAAAATACGGCAATGTTTGCCGGGCTCTTAAAACTCTGTACGAGTCTAAGACAAATACTGATATAAGTTTTGAAATCGGCGAAAACACTATAAAAGCACACCAGTGCATTCTAGTGGCTCAATCACCAGTTTTTAAAAGAATGTTCGAGAACAATTTGATTGAATCTAAGTCCAGATGCATTCAAATCACTGATTTTGATGCCCGTACATTTGATTGTTTTTTGAAATACCTCTATTGTGGCGATATGGACGATAAAAGTTTGGATATAGTGATGAATCTCTTTGCTCTGGGCGATAAATATAGTGTTGAAGGTCTCTTGAAAGATTGTGGGGATATACTAGCTGACAGCTTAACTGTTGACACTGTTTGCAGAATTATTGTGCTCTCTTATTTGCATAATGATGAAACACTAAAGGAGAAATGTATGCAGTTTTTAAATCACAATTTACTTTCGGTTATTAAGAAGAAATCTGAATGGACGGAACTTATAAACGATTATCCTAAACTGGCCTCAGAAATTTTTTGCTCAATGACTGCTTATTTGGAATACATGTAAGATAAAACAATATACTTCACTCACATTTTATTTTCTAACGTATACTTATTTCATTGATGTTTGCATAAATTAATTATCTCTAATTATTATTGTTCTTTTGTAATATTAATTAAAAACTTATTTCTTTTCGGAAAATTCTTTTAGAAAAAAATAAACAGAAATTTAAGAAATTCGGTTGTTATGATCTTCAAAACTCTTGTTTAATCAAAGAAATATTTAAAAAAAACATTCACTGATTGTAATTTTTCAATTAATATCATCTCATGGTTGTGGAAAATTTTAAAACTCTCACTAATTGCAATTTTTTCTATTAATATCTCATAATTGTGAAAAATTTTAAAACTCTCACTGATTGTAATTTTTCCTATTAATATCTCATGATTGTGAAAAATTTTAAAATTCTCACTGATTGTAATTTTTTCTATTAATATCTCATGATTGTGAAAAATTTCAAAACTCTCACTGATTGTAATTTTTTCTATTAATATCTCATGATTGTGAAAAATGGTTCAGAAAATTTATTTGTAATTATTTTTGATCAAAAGCTACAAATGTTAATATCTCATAATAAAAATAAAGTTATGTAAACTTATGCGATTAACACTTTTCCTTGTATTGAATTGTGCTGCATAAAACACTAATTTGGGTTAATTTTTCTTCCATTGATATTATTGCAGCTCATTTTGAAATTGAAACTTCACTAATTTTTCTCCCTTTGGAGAGTTATGTACTTGATTGTGTATCATAGAATAAAATATTGATTTGAGATGATTCTTCGTTAATTATTATAATGTGTTATTCTTACAATGAAGTTTAGTAAATTTACTCGTTTGACACGCTATTATATTGCAACTAATTCTGTAATAAAATTAAACATTGATTTGTAATAGTTTTTCGTTCGCTAATATTTCACATTGAAAATAAAACTTTGTAAGCCTAACGCTTTACTCATTATTTTGCATCTGATTGTGTAACATAATATAAAACATAAGTTAGCAATTGTTTTTTGTTATGTATCATACGCTTTAGTTGCATTTGATTCATACTAAACAAAACCTTGATTTGTAATATTTTTTCGATAGTATAATTATATCTCATATTAAGTGGAAGCTTTTCAAAATTACTCATGATTATTAAATTGCAATAATTGTTTTATAGTTTATTTTACATAATTTAAATATTACATTTTTACCAATTCAAAATGCTCTATCTTCAATAGCTATGCATTTAAAACGTTCAAATCATTTGGACTAGGCATTGTTGTGATTAATTATTAAGATTTATTCAAGGGCAATTTTAGTTTCAATTTTTTTAAAAGAAGATTAAATCTTTCTTATTTTTTTAGTCGAATTTCATGCATCAATGCTCAATCATGCGTTTTATTCAATGTGTAAATTTTAAAGTAAATTGAATAATGTCATTGCGATTAATATATAAGGATTGCAAAGTATAAAACCACTTCTAGAAAATTTATTAGGGTAGAAACAATATGAAAATGTTATACTAATGTTAATTAGGAAATTGTATGAAACAAACTTCGAACTTGAAGAAATCGAACGATTTTTCGATTATGAATTGGATAAAAATTCATGTATTAAAATAATTATAGCTTTTTAAATTTTGATTTTAATAAAGCTTAAAATGTCAGCTCTATAAGTAAGGTTTAAATGTGACAACAACATAAAAGTTGCACCAATCGAAGAATTGTTAAGTACCCTCCTCTTAGTAAGTGATAAAAAGTTGCTGCAACTCACGCGTCGGACTTTGGCTAACTTTTTCCAATGAAGCGTTGCCTCTAATGACTTTTAATTTATTAATATTTTTACAATGCATCGAATGAGACGACTCGGAAATAAAAATTCGGGTAATATTACCCTATTGTATGGTAACAGCAAAATTGGTAAACATATTGAAAACCGAAATATGCAGTATTTAAGCCAATCATTTTGTAATTTTTCCGTTTGCACGGCAATATTTTACTGTAAATTATGAATATCAAAATTACAGTTCTTGTTACCACACATTAAGTGAAACTTACACAACAAAAAACTAAATTTATCCGAATAAATGGTTTTTATGTCATTTTCTAAGGGGAACGTGGTAAAATTACCATATTTTACCACATTTTCCAAAAGTTATGACATATTATAGAGGCATAATGTTAATTTTGCCAAAATCCTTTTCAAAGCGCTTTGGTTAAAATTATCGATTTCTCATAAAGCCTGTAATACTGTAAATTTTATTATATTCTGGTAGTTTTGATCATACTTTTATCCATAGTGAAGTTCGAGACCATAGGACTAGATAGTTCAGAAATTTTAATGGTTTAATGTACAAAATTTGCTATGTTTGACTGACTTGCATTGCTCATCTTGCATACGTGTGCATAAAAATTACTTTTTGCATTACGCGTGCATAAAAATTTAAAGTTGACAAATATTGCGGTTCATTTACAAAAATAAATTACGTAAGACATCAAAATATATATGATTTTGTTTCTTTTGAAATTGATTTCTCTAGCATTTTAAACTGTTTTCAATTTGGATATTTTGTATGCGTTACCGTTTAAATGTATAACTCAGTTATTTCATAGAACAACTATGTATTTCATGAAATAATTAGACAAGTCATTTAAAGTATATAATAGACGAAAAATTTCATACTTTACCTAGTTATTCTTTGTAATAACTAATTCTAGTTAAAGTAAAAAATAAATAATTTCGAAGTTATGTGTTAATTAATCATAAATAGCTAAAATATCTCGATATAATACCTATTATCTCTATTGCGGATGATTAATTGATAAATAATAAGGAAAAGCAGATGATATACTTTATTATTATGTACTCATATTAATGCAGTGGACTGATCGTTAGGGTTGCAAGTTTGTCGCGGCACGAATTTTCGTGACCGTTTCCGCGAAATTTCAAGTTTTTTTCAAAAATTCGCGAATTTTTTAAAATTGCGTGATTTGAACGAAAGTTATTCAATTCGCGCGATTTAAATGAAAATTATTCACAATTTGAAGTTATTTTTCTCTGTTTTATCTTATCAATAAAAATATATTTGTAGTTATTATTTTTCTGAAGTTTAAAAATTGATTATATTTTTTCAAAGCATTCACAAAAGTATCAAGCAAAATGACATTAGAATTGGGTTAGGCTCTATACAAGCTCCTCGCTTTTGTATTGAAATTGAATACCATTAACAAGCTGAAAGATAAGATTTTCTACATTCTAATTCTTCATAAATCTATCAATTCTTATCTCCCCCTCCATTGACCAGAGGGACAGTCCTCTCACTGTATGAGCCCCATGTAAAGGGGGGGGGGAACCAGAAGACATTTGTAGTTAACAAATTATTTGGGGGATTGAATTTCATTGCTGGAATTATAGTAGGACTGAAAAGTTGATTGAAGACTGGTCACAAAAAGTGTGGTCTTCTTATCTTTTTGTTGACTGATTGACACCAATGCCTCCTTTTCCTAACAGTCAACTAGAATATAAAAGATAAAGGAAAACAAAAGAAGAAGAAAAATTGACTCTTTCACAGGAAATTCCCAGTAGTGAGAAGGTACATATATTTACACTGATTATTTCAATAGGTACAGAAAGGCATGTGGAAATGCTTGTCGAAGATGGAACGCTATCCAAAACTGTCTAAAGTGGCAATTCGATGTTTGTCAGTACCAACTAATAGCGTGGATGCCGAACGATCTTTTTCAAAATACAAAAATGTATTGAGTGATGAAAGGAGAAGCATTAGCGAGAATAACCTAACCATGTATAATATTTTGTATCAAAATTCTGTACATTTAAGTAACGGCATTAATATTGCTTAAAAATAAAATTTTGTAACTTTTTTATGTTTTTTATTATTTTTAAATTGATTTTCGGTGTAAATATCAGTGCATATGTTATCCGCGAAAATTTCGCGAATTTTTAAAACT